AGTCCTATATAAAAGTCAGAAAAGTGAAGGAAAGTCAATGCAGACATGTCTGTTTCTTGATCAGAGAGAAACGCAGACAGTTAGACAGGAATTTTTGAAAACAGAACTCAATGGGATTTATTTCTGAACCACATACAGACAGATTGCACCAGAAATCATACTAGGATCACAAACACTTACTTTCCTCACAATTGGCTTCTGTCCCTCTATACAGCCATACCAATTTACTAACTTATTCCAGGCTTCAGTAGGAACCAACACATAATCCAATTCATCAATAAGGTGCTCTTTCAAAGTCTGAGTTTCTGAATCTAAAAGGAAATTGAATAAGTTACACACAGAAAAATGAGCAGAAAATTCAACACACACAGCCATCCTTCAAAGCAGCAAGCAAACAGATACCTTTGAAAATCTTCACAGGCAATTCAAATAGTCATGCCCATGTGCAGTGTTACTCAGAAACCATTACCTTGTGTTCAAAAAATAAAACATCTAATCTATTCAAATACATTTCCAAACTGTGTGATATTGAAGGCTTCCTAAAATTGTACCGCACAGAACTGGAAGATAAAGCAAATAAGAATTTATAAAACTAAAGGACACATACTAATTTTTTCATAATGGTATGCAGCAATGGACATGATCTTCCAGCCTATAGGACCAAACTGACCCACTAGACTCAGCCTACAAGTGATGTTCCTCTCCTAAGTTCTGCTACTTGTTTTGGAGTGATTCTCCCACAGGCAGTTTGCCATTCCAACTGGGAAAACAAGCTGCAGGGAGAATCCTACTGTTGTCACTGATCTCAATGGAATGTGAAATAAAGCCTTGGTATTACCAATTTATGAAGCCAGTTTCTACTTCTTTTTGCACATAGAAGAAAAGCATGATTTCTAGGAGAAAGAAGAGTCAGATGACTGCCCCCTCTCCACGTACACAGATTGGTCCTCAGGGCAAACTTCCCCCACCCTTGATATAGAGAGTTTCTAAAGAAAACAAGTAATTTAGTACTGCTTTCTGCCAAATCCATGACAGTCACAACTTTCCGTAAAATGTGTCATCTTAAACCTATTGAAGGCCTGTTCAAATATTATTTCCAGCTGACTCTAGTTTCCCTTTCACTTTTCCCTGGAAGTTCCCTGAAAGGAGGAGCAACACTGAAATCCAAGCCCAAGGATCTTCAGAATACTAAGGGAGGCAGCATATGAAAAGATATTTTGATTTTAAGTGCGTCACTTTACCAAGTTCAGCATATCACAAACCTGATCCTTGCATCAATGTTAGGAAACTGATTGAGAACTAAAGCTCTACGAAGGAACTGATTGAGACATCCAAAGATTGCAAAACACATATGTCTAAACATCTGAAGTTCAACGGCCCACTAAATATACCAACCTATGAAGGGGCTGTGATCATATCTGCCACCAGCATATGTGTTCTTTAGTTCTCTTTCTGTTTTTATGTGAGAAAAAAAACCCTCACAATCAGCACTAAGTGAAGGAATGGGAGGTGAGCAAACAAATGGCAGTATGGGTGTGAGAAGCAATTGTTGAGACACTAATTTAAGGGTGGAATCTCTCCTCTCGAATTCAAAAGCAGTTTGGATTGCAACACTTGCTAGAAACCAATTATAACTTCCACAACCAAGAGTTTATTACAAGGGAGGTCCAAATATTACTTCAGAATTAGGAAAACACGCCTAGAAGAGGCTGGAATATGAGGGCATAAAGCCTCCAGATATATTCGCCCTTGCCAAACCCACACAACCTACCCTCCCCAACCCTTTTTATTTTCCCCCAACCATGTTTACCTGCAAAAAGCCCTGAGTTGTCAATGGGTCCTGGGTAGAGATTAGGCTCCCCCACATTATACAGGTCCCAGCTGTCAAAGCCCACGTACTTCTTCCACTGCTTGAACCACCGGCTGTCAATCAGGTACCTACAATTATGAAACGAAAAACGCACCGAGGTGAGTGTGCGTGGGGCGGCCCAAGATTCAGGAGAGAGGGAAGGAAGGAAGGACGGGAAGACATTGCTAAGGGTGGACGGGGCGGTGACTCAGCAGCACCCCTTCGGGGCAGCCGGCTAGGGAGGGAGGAAGAAGGAAAGAAGAAAGGTCCTTCAGGGCCGCCGTCCCGCGCGCACTGCTCCCTCCTGCCCAGCCCCCTCCCTCCGGCCGCGCGCGAGGCCATTCGGAGGCCAACGGCTCCCGCGGGGAAGGGAGGGAGGCGCGCGGCCTAGCCCCGAGCCAGCCCTCCTCCTCCTCCTCCTCACCAGGACTCCCCCGGGCACAGCGGCGCCCCTAAAAGCGGCGTGAGCTCAGCCCGCTGCGTCCCCGCGTCCGGCCTCGGGCTGGCCGTGGCTCCTCCGCCGCCACCGCCGCCGCCCTCGAACCCTGCTTCGGCGGCCGCCATGACGGTTGCGCGCGCTGCTGCTGCCGGCCGGCCAGTTCTCCTCTCCTCTCTTCTCTTCTCAACTGCGGCTCGCCTTCTTCGCCCGTCGCACGCCCAAGGGCGGCACTGCGCATGCGCGACCTCGACGCCCAGGCCCTGGCGGATGAGAACGGCAGGCCGCCCGAGAGACCCGGATTCAGCCTGGCCCTGCCCGAAGAGGGCAACGACGAGGGTGCCCGCCCGGGTTCATCTGCACCGAAGAGCGGGTGCGGTTTGGCAGCTCTTTCACTGACATGGCTTCATGCGCTGGAATCCTGGGAGCTGTAGTTTGGTGAGGCACCCACACAATTTGCCTGAGGAGGCTGAAGGCCTTGTAGAACAGCACCTCCCTTGATTCCACAGCATGGAGCCATGGCAATTAAAGTGGTGCCAAACTGCATTTATTCTACAGCAGGCCTGGGCAAACTTGGGCCCTCCCTTCAGGTGTTTTGGACTCCAACTCCCACCATTCCTAACAGCCTCAGGCCTCCTTCCTTTTGCTTAAGCGGCTGAGTGGGAAAAAGGAAGTGACCTGAGGCTGTAAGGAATGGTGGGAGTTGGAGTCCAAAACATCTGGAGGACCCAGATTTGTCCATACCAGAGCGACAGTGTAGATCAGGAGTCCTCAAACTTTTTAAACAGAGGGCTGGGTCACAGTCCCTCAAACTGTTGGAGGGCCGGATTATAATTTGAAAAAAACCCCCATAAATTCCTATGCACAGTGCACATATCTTATCTGTAGTGCAAAAGACACTTAAAACAATACAATAATTAAGATGAAGAACAATTTTAACAAATATAAACTTATTAGTATTTCAATGGGAAGTGTGGGCCTAGTTTTGGCTGATGAGATACAATTGTTGTTGTTGTGTCCTTTCAAGTAGTTTCAGACTTAGGTTGATCCTGAGCAAGGGCCGGGTAAATGACCTTGGAGGGCCGCATTCGGCCTCTGGGCCTTAGTTTGAGGACCCCTGGTGTAGATGCACCCTTGAAAAACTTTTAAAGAGTCTTAAACTGGACTGTGATCAGAATCATGTAACTGGGATGTGAAACTGGGTTGCTGGCCATTTTCCAGAAGCATTGTCTCCTGATGCTTCGCCTGCGTCTATGGCAGGCATCCTCAGAGGTTGAGAAACTGGAAGTTGCTTCTGGTGTGAGAGAATTGACCGTCTGCAAGGATGTTGCCCAGGCGATGCCCAGATGTTTTACCATCCTGTGGGAGACTTCTCTCATGTCCCCACACAGGAAGCTGGAGCTGATAGACAGGAGCCCACCCTTCTCCCCAGATTTGAACCACTGACCTTTTGTTCAGCAGTCTTGCAACTAAGAATCAGGCAATGGCTAGTAAGTGAATTGTTGTGAGAACAGTCTGTTTGGCACTATTGTTAGTTTTATGACTGGTGGAAGTATCCTGTTTCTTAGGCCCCTTCCACAGAGTTATACAACCCAGAATATCAAGGCAGAAAATCCCACAATGTCTCCTTTGAATTGAGTTATCTGAGTCCATATTGCCATATATTCCAGTTCAAAGCAGAAAATGTGGAATTTTATTCAGCTGTGTGTAAGAGGCCTCTTATTTTCCCCCATAAATATCTTATTGCAGTTTCAAAACATGATATTTCTAGCACTTTTGGTAAAAGTTACTCAATTTCCTAGGTTCTCGCATCATTAGTTTGTCAAATGAGTTGAAGGGAAATCTGGCTATAAGTCAGGTTCTAGAAACAGGATTGTTTTTGCGACTTTCCATACTTTCTCAAGCCATCCGCATGCTGTTCTTCCAGCTCTCCTTCCATTTGTATTAAGCTTATATTTAAGCCATAGCTTCTGGCTCTCATTGCTCACCTGTCATCATGTCATAGTAATAAGCAAGCTAGGTTTAGAATTTACTGGTTTGGGGTATTTAATAACTAGCAGCTTATACTAAAACAATGGCATGTAAAAGAGGCATAACACCTGAATAAATCTCCACAAATTTCAACTCCAGAAGTGTCACCAGTTTTACAAATATATAAAAAGGCAAATGTATTTAGTTCTGAAAAGCTCAGAGGATATATGCTAGGTGAGTCTTCCTACAGAGATTTCCCCATCTATGTAATGTGTTGTACAGTCAGGAAAGCTCTCTGCTCTGTCCTTTCAGCTTTGGGTTTCCAAAACTGAAAGGGAGGGCTTTAGGCAAATTTGTTTCAATTGAGTATGGAAATTGAAGCAGATGACAATGTTACTCTGTATATACTACCCACTCCTCTGATCTAGTTTGGCTTTTATATTCTAACTTCAAGGAGGGCTATTTCATTTTAACTGTTCAATATATTGTGCTGTTGGAGGTGAAAGACTCTAGCTCTTAGGGCATCTTGGAAAAGGTAGTCAGATATTCAAGGGGGTGTTTTTGTTGTTTTTTAAAAAACTTAACTAACCAATTTGATCAAGACAGAAGTGAATAATAACTTAGACTGCAGACTCTGAGATCATTGTAAATATAGTAGTAAAGTGTCCTCATCATGCATTATCTGAACAAAAACTGGAACAAATAAGTGAATTTGTGTTGCAATACAAATAGCTCAGTTATAGCTATGGTTTTCAAGCATTTTATTGTTTGACAATGATTTTAACAAACTGCTGCATTCAACTGTTTTCCCAATTTAATTTACTATAGCTTCACACAAACTTTTAGAAGATCAGGTGCTTTTCAAGGCTTTAGAAAAAGCACCATCATGAACAAAATTTTGATAGAGAATAGAAAATTAATATCAAGAAAACAGCTGACAAGTCATAGAAAAATAAGCAGTGCAGAAAAGGACAAAGTCTGGTACTCAGGAGTGTTGCTGCTTCACGAAGTATGATTTTAAGCCATACATGCTACAGCACATTGTGTTGATACTAAACTGTAATATTTGAAACGCATATCTGGAATGTTTAATGTGTATGCAGACTAGGGATGAACAAAAGATTGATAGACTTAGCAGAGATACTATGCTGTAATGGGTACCTATTAACTTTATAGCACATTTAGAAACCACAAAACATAAGTGTCACCTTATGCCTTATAGGTGAGAGGAAATAGCTAAAGGTACAATTCACATTATAGCATAAAAACAAACTGCTCAATTTCAGAAAAGCTTTGCTGTTGTAATTCACATACATAATTTCCCTTCACACAATGAGATTGCTGTGTTTAATATGGGACATACAATTAATGTACTGTAACATGGGAATTAATACATTCAACCCTAGGGTAATTCTAGCTGAAAGCAAAGAGGTGGAAAGAAATTTCAGCAAGATATAATGTGGTTTGCTCTAAGGAACTTGTTGAAGCAGCTTTTCAATATCATCCTGGATTTTGATGGTTTCAAAGCGCCTGCTGTAGCGTTTGAATGGTTTCCCATCCGGACCAATGAGGAATTTTTCAAAATTCCATGCGATGTCATTGCGGCACACAGGAGACCAGATGATGTTCTGCGGGTGGGTCATCAGAGACACAGCGTCATCATGTGGGTATGGCAATTCTTCTTTCAGGAATTTGAAGAGTGGGTGAGCATTTCCCCCATTGACCTCACACTTCTCAAACACAGTGAAGTTAGGCTCATACCCATTGCCTGGGCGGACATACTTCAGTGAGTTCAGGATCTCCTCATTGGTGGTATTCTCCTGTTAAAGGATAGAGGAGACACAATCTTAAATCCACAGCTCAACAAATAGCATTTAATCCTTTGCTTCCCTCCAAACTTTGTCACTAGTAGTTGGATGAAATATAGCCAAAATATATTCTTATATACATTCCGATGGACTGATATGCCAGCTTTTCTACTTGCCATTGAAATTATGGAATTTTCAAATTAAAAAAAATGTAACCTATTGCAGCATAAAAAAGATTTCATAAGATTTTATTGCCACAGCACTAACTTGAAGTTTTCGGTTTCTTACAGAAACTACAGTTTGAAAACAGGGAACTACATTTAGGGAACAGTCATCTGCATCCTCCAATACAGGAAAAACCCATAACATATTGCCCAACTGATCATAAGTATATTGGGGAGATGCTGCAGAAAGCATACTAGATGAATCCTTTCCTAGGAGTAAGCTATATACTCAATAATAAATACAGAATTTGACAAAAACTCAGACCCAAACCTGGGCAGGCCTTTCTACAGGTTAATATGAATGCTCTACTTTAACTCTCTCAGAAAAAGAACCATTCCTGCTCTGAGCAGAGTGGCAAAAGGTAACACCTTATTTATTTATTTCATATACTTGTACCCTGCCCTTCTCACCCCTGAGGGGGGACTCAGGGCAGCCTCACAACAAACACCATTCGGTGCCATCATAATGATAAAAACAATCAACAAATTCATTCAAACAAAACATTAAACAGTTGTTAAAACATGCCAATTAAAATCCGGGTCCGGGTGAATTCATTGTCACTTCGAAATTGCTTACGTCTTCTTCATACAAGCCGCTATTCAATGGTCAAACGCAAGGTCCCACAGCCAAGTCTTGAGTTTCCTTCTAAAGGACCTTAGCCTGCTCTGGGAGAACCTAAAGTGCTACTAACCCTCTCTGCTCCATCGTGGTTCCAGTTCAGTTGTTTTCTTCTGCTAGCAAGCAAGGGCCTTTTTATTTAAGAAGGTCTTTGGCTCTTAACTCATGTGACAGAAGGGAAGCTTTAATGGGGCACATTGTACTTTTATTATATTTAGCTCAGTCTTAATTTAATTAAGTGCCTAATCTTTGTACCAATAATTTTTAAGTTTTGTACTAGAGGGTGTTGCTATTTGCTATAAACCACCTTAGGTCCTATGCTGTGGGGGGGGGGGGGGGGGATTGGGATCTGTATTTAAGAGCATCTGTGGAAGTGGGGTATAATTATTGGTTGTTTATATTGACATTGTTCTGTTAGTTTTAAAGAGGCTGCAATACTCCCTTTTCCTTAAATCTTGCAGTAGCTAATGCATTAAAAGGGCTTGGCTCACCTTTTCTGTCAATAGAAACAACATACCTAAATTGAAACATTTCTTACTGACCCACACATCATGGAAGGACTTCAGTGGGTAATGTTGAATAACATGTACTATATTTGGTTGGTTTTATGCAACTGGTCTTAAAACAGTCTGCCATGCTTTGTCCTTCCAGAATAACTAGGTATCCACAACCGAGGGTGGACATCTGAGTTTATCCCTTTTTAAAAAATATATATTCCTCTTTGCATTTGCTAAAAGGACCCCAACCACCAGCTCCATCCCTACTCAGCATCAAAGACACCTTGATAGATAAACCCACTGCTAGAACATATAAAAGCTTGATTTTCCAAGTCTGGAATCTATGGCAGTGTGGACTTAGATAACCCAGTTCAAAGCAGATATTGTGGGATTTTCGGCCTTGATGTTCTGGGTTAGATGTGGAAGGGCCCTGAGAGAGCTGGAAGAACAGCATGCGGATGGCTTGAGAAAGTGTGGAAAGTCGCAAAAACAATCCTGTTTCTAGAACCTGACTTATAGCCAGATTTCCCTTCAACTCATTTGACAAACTAATTATGCGAGAACCTAGGAAATTGAATAACTTTTACCAAAAGTGCTAGAAATATCATGTTTTGAAACTGCAATAAGAGACAGTTGAAATTCATGGTATGTTGGGTAACGTTCAGAAAAGCACTATCAAGAGCAACCAGAAAGCAGCTACAGGCAGAGCACGTCTTATCTGAAATGCTTGGGACCAGAAATGTTTTTTTGCTGATACGTATGTACATTTTGGTGTTGGGACCCAAATCTAATCAGAAAGTTTATTATATTCCATATATGCCTAACGGTAATTTATGCATCATTTTAAATCTAATTTTGTCCATGAGAGAAAAGTTTGTGTGCACTGAGTCAGCCGAAAGCAAGGGTGTCACTATCTAGGGATTATGGCTTATTTCAAAATTTTGGCTGAAGGATGCTGGCACCTGTATCAACATGCTGTTTGTGCTTCATAAATTCCAAATGAGTGATTCAACTAGCTATGCATTTGTCTGCAAAATAAAATAAAAAGACAGGATGCATCTCTCTAGATCCGGAATGGGCAAACTTTGGGCCCTCCAGGTGTTTTGGACTTCAACTCCCACAATTCCTCACAGCCTCAGGCCCCTTCCTTAAGCGGCTGAGGGGGCAAAGGAAGGGGCCTGAGGCTGTGAGGAATTGTGGGAGTTGAAGTCCAAAACACCTGGAGGGCCCAAGTTTGCCCAGGCCTGGTGTAACTGCACCCAAGGCTGTGCCTGCCCATATAAAAAAAAGGGGGGTTTGGCATCTCTTTCAGATATTATAAAAAAAGAGGAGCTTCCCAGCTTTGCAGTAAGGGATGCCTGGCACCAGCCCTCTCTGGCAAAGAAGGCTAAAGACCTTGCAAAACCACAACTCCCAGGCGCCTTTAGCATTTGAGCCATGCCAGTTAGAAGCAGCGCCAGAGCGTGGGTATCCCTGCAGTACCGGGTTCCGCCAGCAGGGGCGCACGGCCCGCCTCTTCCCACTCATTCAATTGCCCGAAGCACGGAACCCACCTGGTGGCCAAACTGGTTGCAGGGGAAGGCGAGCACGACGAACCCTCGGGGCCCGAAGCGCCGCTGGAGCTCCGAGAACTGCGTGTAGTCCCGGGTGGTGGTGCCTCAGAGGGAGGCCACGTTGGAGACCAGCACCACCCGCCCCGCGAAGGAGCCCAAGTCCACGGGCTCCTTCGCCCCCAGCGGTCGCGCCATCAGCCCCGACAAACCACGCACAGGCAGACCAGCCATCACTACAGCGCTTGTACGAACCACGCAGCAAATGCAAGCAGCCAAGCGCGGGCCTGCCTTTTATAGCATCCTACCAGCCCCGCCCACTAACTCACAAGCTCCGCCCACTCTCCTTGACCTTGTAGCCGGCGGCACTTTTTGCAACCTGGCCGTATTGAGTTGAGAGAGTCCTGCGCATGCGCGACTCTAACTTCCCTCAAGGGGCGCCTTTGTTCCTTCCCGACAATTAGGCTGGAGACCGTGCAATTTGGCCATTACTTAAAGCTCGGGTTTTCTCTCCCTTGGTTTCATTGAACCCTGCTTTTAGGAGCAAAGTACAATTTACCTCAAACACGCCTTCTGAGAAACACAATCTAATCTCTTTTGCCACATTACGGCATTAAGGCGGTTGGCAAAGATGGAGGGAAGACGCCACTCCCCGATGAGCCCTTCCTTTTTTCGGCTGAAAGAAACAACAAAAGTTTGTGATGTGCTTCAGTGGCACCATGCCCTTTTTAATAGAGCGCCTTCTGTGCCTTCCAGACTTTTCTAATCCTGTGCCCCTTCTACCCTGCCATATAAAATCCATATTATCTGCTTTGAAATGGATTTTATGGTAGTGTAAACTCATATAATCCGGTTCAAAGTGGATAATGTGGAGTATCCACTTTGAGAATCTGAATTATGTTGTAAAGCAATGCTTTCGGGCTGGACGCAACTGCTCAGCATGCCTGCCCCGTCTGGCATAAAGCTGCCCATGCAAAGTAGGTGAATATCACTGAATGAGACACGAAGAACACTCACAGGATGTTTGCAACCTGCACCTGTTGATAAGACTATAAACTAGCTGGCATTGCCCCCCCCCCCGGCGCGGATGTGTGACAAGAAGTTGCTGTCACTTGCAAGAGAAATAAGGTTGAACACTGTGAAAGCCACCCACTGCATGGCTATCAGCCTCCTCCCAGGAGACTTAAATCAAGGGAAAGTTTCATGATAACCACCACTCCTCTAAATGTTCCTGAGTGCTCCAGCTGGAGGTCAGCTGTGACCAGCAGTGCTGCAGAATTTGAAGAGGCATGAATGGAGGGCAAAAAAGAGAAACGTGCCAAGAGGATGGCGCGTCAAGCCAACCCCAACTGAGACCGCCTTCCACCTGGAAACCAATGCCCTCACTGTGGAAGAAGATGCAGGTCAAGAATAGGGCTCCACAGCCACCTACAGACCCACAAGAATACTGATCCTGGAAGACTATCCTACTCAGCCAACGAGGGATCGCCCAAGTAAAGGAAGTAAGTAAAATGTTCCTCCAGCAACAACAAGAATATCCCTGTGGGTAGTAAAATCAGGCAATTCCAACTGGATGCCCCCCCCCCCTTTACTTACTTATTTAGGCGATCCCTCGTTGTCCAAGTAAGATTGTTCTCCAAGAGCGATGTCCTGGCAGTGGGTACATAGGTGACTGTGCCCTATTCATGACCCACGTGTTCTCCCGCAGTGAGGGCATTGGTTTCCAGGTGAAAGGCGGTCCCGGTCAGAGTTGGCTTGATGCGCCTTCCTTTGGGCACGTTTCTCTCTTTCGCCCTCCATTCATTCCTCTTCAAATTCTACAGCACTGCTGGTCACAGCTGACCTCCAGCTGGAGCGCTCAAGGGCCAGGACTTCCCAGTTCTCAGTGTCTATGCCAGAGATTTTAAGGTTGGCTATGAGCCCATCTTTAAATCTCTTTTCCTGTCCATCAACATTCCGTTTTCTGTTCTTGAGTTTGGAGTAGAGCAACTGCTTTCGGAGACGGGCATTTTGGGCAACACGACCAGTCCAGCAGAGTTGATAGCGGAGGACCATTGCTTCAGTGTTGGTGGTCTTTGCTTCTTCCAGCACGCTGACATTTGTCTGCTTGTTTTCCCAAGAGATTTGCAGGATTTTCAGAGACAGGCCTGAGGGAATCGTTTCAGGAGTTGCATGTGATGTCTGTAGATAGTCCATGTTTTGCAGGTGTATAGCAGAGTTGGGAGGACAATAGCTTTATAAACAATGCCCCCCCCACCCCATGAGGGTCTGCCTCCAGGGACAAACCAAGAATGGGCAACTTGGAAGTCCCTGAACAGACTCAGAAGTGGAGTGGACAGATCAAAAGACAACCTGGCAACATGGCACTACCTAGAAGAATCCTCCACCTTGTGTGATTGTGGAACAGAATAAACACCTCTGTATCTGTGTGCTTGCCCACAATGCCCTGCCTCATGCACAGAGGAAGAACTGTTTAAAGCTATCGACAATGCGGTTGCTGTTGCCCGTTTTTAGTCTAAAACAATCTAGCACCTTGTGATCCCTTTATTTTATAACTTTTAGATAAACTATTTTATGCAATGCTTTTGACACAAAATAAAATAAATCTGGTTTATATAGCAGTGTGGAAGGGACCGTATAAACAGGTGGTTGAATCACCTATTTATTTTATTGTGTCAGAAGCTAATTGAGGGTACAGTTGTAATGTATTTGAAAATGCAAACAAAGTTAAAAACATGGCATGATACTAAATATCCTTTGACCAGAAGCTGGCCACTTGGAGTGCCTCTGGTGTCACTGTAAGGAGGTCCTCCATTGTGCATGTGGCAGAGCTCAGACTGTATTGTAATAGGCGGTTTGTGGTTTGCTCTTCTCCACACTCACATGTCGTGGACTGTGGCCCCATTTCTTAAGGTGCCAGAGCACAGTATGTTCAGCACCCTCCAAGTCACCCAGTCTTCTGTGTGCCCAGGAGGGAATCTCTCATTTGGTATCAGTCATGGATTGAGGTTTTGGGTTTTAGCCTGCCACTTTTGGACTCTTGCTTGCTGAGGCGTTCCTGAGATTTTCTTTGTAGATCTTAGAAAGCTATTTCTTGATTTAAGGTGTTGCCATGCTGCCTGATATCCGAACAGGGGATGGGCTGGAGATGTCACTGGCTCAGTCCTTTAATTATTGGCTGCTACTTCCTGGTGGATGCCAGGTGATGCAATTCTGGCTAAACAGTATAATTTCTTCAGTGATGTGGGGCGTAGACATCCTGTGATAATGCAGCATAGCTCATTAAGAGCCACATCCACTGTTTTTAACATGGTGAGATGTGTTTCACACTGGTCATGCGTATTCAGCAACAGCAGCAAAGCGCAAGGGCAGATGTCTTCACTATCTCTGGTTGTGATTCCCAGGTTGTGCCAGTCAGCTTTCATTTTTTGCACCCATTTTTTGCTTGATATTCAAGCAGCGCTTCGGTCAGAGCATGGTCTAGGGTAACTCCCAGGTATTTGGGTTTGCTGTAATGTTCCACTGGGATTCATTCTCATGTAATCCTCACAGCTCAGGATGCTTGTCTGTTCTTAAGATAGAAAACAGATGTCTGCATTTTAGATGGATAAGGAATCAGCTGGTTTTCTCTGCAATAGGCAGTAAGAGCACCTAAAGCTTCAGAAAGCTTCTGTTCAACCCTTTCAAAGCTGCCTGCTTGGGTGGTGATGGCACAATTTTCAGCATAGATGAACCTCCCTGTCCCTTCTGACAGTGGCTGATTATTTGTGTAAATGTTAAACAATGATGGAGCAAGCACACTCCCAGGGCAGGCTGTTCTTCTGTTTTGACCATCTGCTTTTCTGACCCTGGAACTCAACAAAGACAGATCTTGTAATCTGGGTGTCCCCTGGGCAACGTCTTTGTAGATGGCTGATTCTCTCACAGCCGAAGCTACTTGTAGCATTGAATCCATCGGGGCCCGTTCTATACTCCCATATAATCCAGATTATCAAAGCAGATAATCCACATTATTTGCTTTGGAAATGATTATATAAGTCTATACTGCCATATAATCCACTTCAAAAGAGATAATCTGTATTTTATATGGCAGTGTAGAAAGGGCCTCTGCCTCAAGGAAGGCAATGGCAGACCTTTTCTGAACAAATCTTGCCGAGAAAAACTTGTTAAAAAGTCGCCATAGGCAACAACAACAACAACAACAGTATAGGCTAGGTATATGTTTTAGTATTTGCTTTGGGACAATGGTATGTACCTCCATTGCTGCCCACTGTCCCACCCCTGCTCTCTTTGCAATGTTCTTAAATCTTTTCACAAACTCCAGTAACTTAGAGACAGAGGGCTGTGGAAACACTATGGTTGCATAATTGACAAATAACCGTTTTTGCTTTTCCTCTTCCTTCATCATGCCAGAATCTGTGGTTTTTGTTTCATAGAAGGTGGAGTGTTTAGTGCAAGATTCAACTGAAAATGAGGAAGTGGGAATCACTTGTTTTTACCTCTGCATGCATTGGTCATTAAACAAAAATAATGCCAATCACTGTAATCCAGAAGTTCCTAAAAAAATATGCAGTGTATAACTTTAATTTTTGAAGTCTTTTTCTGCACTGTCATTCTGATCTAGCAGGGCTTTCCTTAAGTTCATATGACAACAAATATAAATATCTTTGCAATAGCTTCCTCCTTTTTGATGTGATTCACTCCCGCTTTGAAAGAAACTCCACCCTTGTCTTTGCAAATGTAGTGAGCAGATCCATGTTGCAGTCCGCAAGTGAGGTTCTTAGATCAGATGTTTGCTCCATCTTTTGTTAGTGAAATAGCTGGACGGCTAGCCGGATGTTTCTAGAAGAAAGCACCCTTGCCTTAAAAGGAGGAAATGTTCGCTGTGTCCATTGAAGGGAAAACCCACTTCCTTTGACAAACTTTGGGTGTTGTTTATTCATAGCTTTAGCTCATGGGATAGAGACTTAAAGATACAGCTTTTAAAGAGACAAGATTCGGAGGCCTTAGTAATAGCTGGAATTAATATATCGGATTGCTTTTGTTTGGAAGTCAAAGCCAGTGAAAGTAGCTGGGGCCTGCGTTACCTTTTCTTACATCAGGATGATAACATACAGTTGCATAAATTATGTTTGTTTGTTTTAAAATGATTGCACCGTGTTTCAGTAAGTTGTAGTAAATACCTGTTGAGTTTCTGGGGTACTTTCACACTATATAATTAACTATGATTTCACTTTAACCGCCATGGTTGTCTCCTATGGAAACCTGAGGTTTGTGGTTTGGTGAAGCACTCCAGTTCTCTGCCTAACCCTTTTAAATGCCTCTCTT